TCTACTGAGACAGTCCAGCCTCTGTTAAGGCACCTGGGTCCAGCGTGGAGCTCCTCAGCCTGCAGGACAGAGGACACATTGGACAAAGACAGGGGTTAAGGCACATATGTCAAAGTTAAGGCCACGAATTGTTACTTCCTGCCCCCTGGAGGATATTTAATGACCATTAGAACCCGCCCACAGGCCACGGCCGCTTGTTTGCGCCGCTGTGACTTCGCAGTCTACCGATGCATTGTGGGGAATGTAGTGTTGGTGCGGTTGTGTTGCACTAACACTACATTCCCAGGGGAAGACATGATTGTAACCGCATTTCAGACCGATCTAGCTTAAAGAACGTTACAGGAAAACGCCAGAATCCTCGCATCAAGACTCCATCGGAAGGCATATCTCCTACCGATACTCTGATGGAGACGGAGCGCTACCTCCAGGCGCTGACCTCTGCCCTGACTGTGCCGTCTCTTCACCTCCCGGTATTCTCTACCTGGCGTGCGGATCACACCTGCCCCTCGTTCTGCAGCGTGTCCGTCACTATCACCCGCAGGATCCTCCCTCCATCCAGGCTCCTTTTATTTTGTTAAACGACCCATTGATTGGTTTCCATTTGCATGTTTCCAAGCAATAAAAGGCTTTGTCGCTATGGAGACTCAAACTCACTGCGGCTCCAGACATTTGAATTAAGAAAAATTGCTGGAGGGGAAGTGAAACGTCTTCAAATCTTGGATACCGAATGATACGGAATGACTCTGACCTGGATGACTGAGAATCTTCATCAGCAACCAAAACAATCCAAACATGCAAAGCATAACTAAGAAATTAAAATAAAAGAAAAACTGAATCATATTTTCCCGTTTTCTGAAAGCAGTGATCGGTTGGATCACAGAGCAGCGCAGTGATGCATTTTCAGTCATAATGAACACACTTTCATTTCTGTATTTATCTTAACAAGTTTATTAATAATATTGATATTAATATTTAGAAAAACAATGTGTTAGATCCAGGTTCAACAGGCTTTGTTCATTTCAATATGTTTTATTAAATATTTGACCAGTCCGGCCCTCGGCTTGTAGCTAATCAGTTCTTCGGCCCTCGGTGGGTTAATGTCGCCTCATACTTCAGGAATTTACTTGAAATCAGGAGCTTTTCTGTTTCTCTTTGCTTTTTTCAGACAAGATGCAAAATAAAGTCATGAAACATGAGTAAAAAAAGCTGGAACAGGCCTGCAGAACGCTGTTTCTGGGGATTATTTATAACTCAGCCGCCCTCACTGGAAAAAACCATCTAGAAATAAGTCAAAATTTCTCAAATTAAATGTGTTTACCCTTCATTTGAGCAGGTTAATGAGTTTGTTTGCCAATGGAATGAGGATTTAAAATCTTTCTTGTTTCTATCTACTCTGCAAATTTTTTAAATCTCAATAAATCACTTTTTTTCTTAGAATAAATGCATTTTTTCTTGAATTAAGGAGGTAAGTGAGACACTTTGCCAATGGAACAAGACAATTTACATTTAAAATAAGGAAAAATAATTATATTGGGTTATTACAAGCACATATTATCTAATTATCTTATTTTAAGAGTAAAAATACTCATTCTGTTGGCAAACAAAGTAATTTACCAGCTCAAATTAAAGGGAAATACATTTAATTTAAGACATTTCTACTCATTTTTAGGTCTTTTTTGCAGTGTATAGTCCTGTTTTATTAAATATCTGCAGCTTTGTCTCGTTTTTTTTCTCAAATAAATACAAGGGATTTATTTTCTCCTGTTTTCACCTCCCCTGCCCCCCCCTGCCAGCTGATCCCCATCTACCCCCCACAGTAAACAGGTCAGAT